TGTGTGTGTGTGTGTGTGTGTGTTAGCGCACAAGACAGAGCACATATAGGAAAGAAATGGAGATCTTCCAGCTGTCATGCTGTCCTCATTGACTGTGGTGAAGGATCTCTCGGGTTGTATATACGAGTCTGTGTGTGTAGAGTCGTGTTAGCAGGAGTGTGTGAAGCAGGCAGTTGGTCTGCTATCTGTCACCGGATCTTATCTCGGTGTCCAGATACAGACAGGAGCTCTGCTGGTTTGTGAGGGCAGCAGAGAGGACCGCCGCTTCAAGACAGTCGCAGTTTCTTATCCACAAACTCGGCACCGCGCTGCTCTGCAGAGCGCCATGCTTCTGATCGGCCTACTTTCCTATGCGACTGTCGCTCTGTCAGTCTAAAGTTGGGAGGACAGCTGAGCAAAATGATTACATTATGCATTAAATATGCTGCAGTGTCCAATTTTTCATTTTTCTCCTCTGTCTCCTTCAACCCTCTTTCTCCGTCCTGCTTCTTTCTAACAGATCCGATGGGAGAAGAACATCACGCTTGGAGAACCTCCTGGATTTTTACACTCATGGTGGTGGTATGTATACACTGATCTGTACTTTTCTATTTTTCTTGGCTACATACGCTTTTGTTTTTTCCAGCAGTTCACATGTATACTGTAAAGGTACCCTTAATGGAATAAAAGGAAGTGCAGAGGTGGAGAAGGACGGTAATTGCAGGGAATGCTAAGTGCATCATCTCACACATGTTTAAATGCTGCACTCCTGGCATCCCTCTGACTGACAAGTGAGTTAACGTCCCCTGGTCTGTTATTTAAACTGCTTTTTTATACCTCTCATTGAAGTGTGTGCACTGCTCAATTAGAGTCAAATTCGGAGACAGATCCTCTGTCCTGTGACAGTGTTTATAGTAAGTCCAAACTGAGTAAAAAGCTAGCTGTAGGGAGATGCAGTGTGTATCTGTTATCCTCCAAAATGAGGGTAACAGCACATATTTTCAGACAGTCTGCCCGAGGAGATGTTGATAGTGTTGTAATGGGCTGTACACATGCGAAGGGTGAAAAATTGGGTAAAAAATGAAATTAACAAAGACAGTTGGAAGTTGGAAAGACAGCTCAGTGGCTGTGAGTACCAGATGTTTGGTTTTCAAAATGTTCAGCGAGAACGTAGGCACCCTCTGTCCAATGGTAAATGGCCTACATTTGTATAGCGCTTTTCTAGTCCCCTAAGGACCCCAAAGCGCTTCACACTACATTCAGTCATCCACACACACATTCACACACTGGCGATGGCAAGCTACATTGTAGCCACAGCTGCCCTGGGGCGCACTGACAGAGGCGAGGCTGCCGGACACTGGTGCCACCGGGCCCTCTGACCACCACCAGTCAGGGGTTTTAGAAACGTAGAAATAATTTTTATAATTTCGCATCTGTGATCTTCCGCGGTAGATCCTAAATCAAATAATCACGATGTGCATGAAATGCAGACGTTCAGCTTTAATCCAAGTAGTTTTAACCCTAACCCGTTTTTGTACAATGGCCTCCATTTTTCAGAGGCTCATATGTAATCAGACCGTAGACTGACGAGCAGTCTCATAGCCAGGTGAGTCCTGTTCCCTCTTCTTTTTTTCTCATGACAAATTGAGCAGATAAGCGATCTGCTGCTGATTCCAAGTGTTAAGCTTGAATTTGATATCCGTTGATATCCAACCAAATGATGTTAGTGTTCTTTACTTGGTTAAGGACATGTGGAGAGAACGTTCTTAGGAGGCAGGAGTACCACTGTCCACATCTGGGATCAATCAAAGTGCAAACTGCTGGTTACAGCCAAGATTAGACTTGACTTGGCCAGAAAACATCTAAGAGTGTGCCTACTTGTGGAAAAAGATTGTTTGGACAGATGAAACCCAGGTTAACTTTTACCAGCCTGATGGGAAGAGAAACATTTGGAAAAGGAAAGGAAGCGCTCATTACCTGTCAAACACAGTGGAGGCAGTCATGTCTTGGGAATGTATGGCTGCTAATGGAACCGCGTCACTAGTGGTTACTGATGACGTGACTGCAGATAGAGGTAGCAGGATGAATTTTGAAGTATAGTTCTGACTGACTTCCTATCTCACCTGCACCTCTGTTGGATATTGTACAGAAACGTTATGGCTGCAGTGAATTGGTAAAAAGATCCTTGAAATGTGTTTATTCTTTTGGTGTTTTTAGGATGACTCAGGTATGACTATAAGATAAGGAGTGCGGTTTTTGTCACAGCATGCCACGACCTCGCCTGCTGCGTGGCAATATCAGCGGGTTGAACTAAAATAAACAATGCTCTTTTTTTTAAAGAACCCTGGCATGCACTTGACCCTTCACCTCCTTCTGCGTGTCCGTCCCAGCTGTCCTGCTCCCCTCTGGGGAAGTGAGCCTCCCGGTTGGAAAACCTCTGCTCTGTCATCAAGCTTGTTTGGCCTGATGCTTCATTTAATGGAACACGGCTCTGACGTGGGCCGTGCCTCTTTTCTTTCAGCTCCTTTAAACAAATCTGTCAGATCTCTTAATGCTGGGTAAATAGAAGACACTGTGTTTTTTTTTTTTATCTGGCTGGAAGAACAGGGTCAGTGGAATTACAGCCTGGCACGTACCATGTTTTTCTCCATGTCTGAATTAAAAGGAATAAGAACACCCAAAAGTAGGATTTCCCCTTTCCGCTTGTCAGCCAGCTAATAGAAAATCCAACTCTAATGCGAAGAGGGAGAGAAAACAGGCAGGACAGAAGAAGCTGGGTAGCTGGAACGGACGCAGACAAAGAATCGAGCAGGCAGAGCATCAAGGAGGTTGAGAGGCTGAATCCTCAGCAAGGCAGCAGGAGGGGCAAAGAGAAGGGATAAGAGGTTTGACAGGGCCCGCTTTGTTTGTCATTCATGCTATCCTGCTCATCCCCAAAGCCCCCGGCTGGCCCTGTGTAATAAACCCGGACATGCAGCTTCGTTCATTCATCCTCCAGGCCCCAGTGTGTGTTGTGATTGTGTAGCCTGTTGACACGGTTCATAATGGCCCTTAAAGAACCTGGCTTCTCTCAACCTGACAGCTCTCAATTGGATCACTACCAGTAATACTGACAGAATGACATACACAAACATACAGTGCAGCCCAAGTTTGCTCTTGCCTGAACCAATAACAGCGCTCAGGGAGCCGTGTGTGTGCACGCACGCATGCGTGTGTGTATGAGGCAAATGGAAACTGAGCACTTTTAGTGTATTTTCACTGTACTGATATATTTCAGTAGTGCAGGATATGATACTGTGTGTGTGTGTGTCAGAGAGCAGTTGAAGAGTAGGCTGCTGATTAGCCATGCAGGGCAGGGCAGGCTGAAGTGTAGTATGACCTAGCTAAGGGGCGTCTGTCTGGGCCACGCAGCACGTGGACACGGATACTCAGTGGGAGTGGGGTCTGGGGGGTTGGCTGTGGGAGGAGAAAGAGGGCGGAGCCCCCTGTCCATCCCTAAACCAGCCGGCACCCCCTCTCCCCCCCTCCCCCCTCCAACCTCCAGCCTCCCCCAAAACAAAAGCTCCAGATGGTAGGAAAGCCACCAGCCTCCCTCATCCCTCACCCTTCTCCCCCCACCCCTCCCTCAACCTTTGTCTGGAGGCCTGTCCCTTTGTTTGCGGAAGAGAGACCCCCGAATGGATTAACTCTTTACATTCCAGCCTCTTTTGTGTTAAAAAGCCAAATCTAAGACCCCGACCCCACAGCCACCCCGGCCCCCTCCCCCCCTTTTAGTGTCTCATTGGGGCTTTCTTCCCTCTGTCTTTGCCTCTGTGGCTGTTTCCTGTAGGGCACCGATGGTTGGTAGGTGGGGGGGGGGCTTCAGAATAAGAGCGTGGCTCTAAGAAGGGGGAAGGGGAGGGAGGCTGGTAGCGGGGGTCACTCATCCACGTCTGTTGTTATGGGTGGACGGATAAAGAAAAGGCTCAGTGAGGGCTGCAGGTGTTGATTGTGTCATTAGCTCGCTCTCTATTGGCCGCCGCTAGTTGTCTCCTCCTTATCCCAAAATCGATTGCTTTAACCAGTTTTCACTGGATGGCCACTGAATTCTCCTTCATCCCAGTGCACACACACACAGGCACAACAACAGTATGTACTGTAGAGGGATCTTCTCTGTGATAGCCTCTAGCTGAAATTCTTGTTTGTGGGGGCAGAGCAAACAAAGTGAGAGTAGCCATCCGATGCTCCCAAATGTCTGGACTGTTCTTTGACATCCTTCTGTATTTCATCCTGTTTAGTCCCCTTTATTTTTGCCTAAATAATCATTTATTCTCACTCTTGATTGCTTTTTATCTTTTGTTTTTAAGTGATGGTGATTAAACTGTAATTTTGTTGGTTTATATTCCAAGGGGGAGATACACTACATGTAAATATAGGCTACTTTTAGACTGCTCCCTTACTCATAAGGGGTCACCACAGCGGGTTGCTCAGCACATTTTGATTTGTCAGAATTTCCTGTTTCAACCCCCACGGGATCTGTGTCTCCTTCCAGTAACAAGGAAGAGACACAAACAGGGGATTTTTTGATTCTTGGCTGAATAGTGGTGGTAAATACATGTAAACATAATCCATTATTAATGCTAGCGTCACCAGCAGTGAAATCCTCTACAGTGACAGAGACCTCAACAGCTGTGATAGTTGTTTGGCGGTAACATGAAGTGTAAGCACAGAACAAGGACGATTAAACAAGATGCGCCTTGCTTGCTTGCTAACATGCTAGCTAGCTTTGTGTCACAGGCATCTGCAGCCTTTCTCAGTTTAAGAAGTCTGTGTAGACTTAAAGTTTGAAGTCTCTTCTTCATACTTTTTAGTAAAAAGTTATGAGCTCCAAGTTTAATAACACTGTCTTAGTTTCAGTGGTGATGGCCAAGCAATGCATATGCAACACTAGGAGGTAGCACTTTACTATAACTCACACTTAATACAGTCAAATCAGTGGAAACCTGGAAAATCTGAAAAGCATACAGTTTACTGCAGTGAGCCGAATTTAACTTTGCACAGTGTGTGAGAGTTGGATGAACTGAAATCAAAGGTTTCCTTATTCTGTCAGTTATCTCATGGTGCGAATACAGTATAAAAGAAATTTGGTGATTTGGTGTCTTACTTTACTAAAGTTATCAAAAGGTCGCTTACTGAACTTAAATTGGTTCAGTCCAGAAGAATTAGTTCCCGTCACACAGGCCTAGAGACTTCTTGGCAACCAACCGTGTGTATTCCCCGATTGATTGGCGAGTGGTTGCTGGCACTCACTAGGTGCTATTAGTCACAAAGAGGTTGATTTCAGTGCGTTGGTTTGACACAGTGGCTGCCAGCAACTTCACCAACTGTAGGTGAATATAACTTCTTGCCAACTGGTTTCCAGGCCTGTGTGGTGGTGTCTGACTTTCAGATACTACTCTGTCGACCAAGTGCAAATGTTTGTGAAATCGGCGAAAGTTGAAAGAATACTGTTTTGGGATTCCTAGACAGACAAAATGTTTCCTATTAGCCATGTCATGCACAGTTATCCCCCCTGCAAGGAGAGGAGGCCCGAATGTCTTTGCTGTTACTGCGTAATTATTCTGGGCATCATTAAGCTTGATCACTAAGCCTCAGTCACTGCCTCTGTGACTGTTGTTCTGTGTGAGCGGGCTCTTTGTCTTTGGGTCTCAAGTTTGACAGCTTAATTTTTCTCGTGGGTCAGGTTTGTTTTGCAGGACTTTCTTCAGTCACAGTTACTGTATTATTACACCATTTCCAAAGGCAGGTCCTGTGACGGACAGGGAACCTGTTCAAGGTGTAACTCTCCTCGTGCCCTGGGATAGACTCCGGCCGCTCTCTGCTACCTAAGGTTGAGAAAACAGACTGTTGAATGAGCACATGGAGCATTTCTGGTTTATAAGGCACGATGATGATAAATGATAAATGCGCTGAGTTTTTTTCTTTTATACTCGTGCCGCATCCTGATCTCCATCTCTGTCTTAATTTTTATTTCCGTCTCCCTGCTGACTGACCGACGGACTGAGTGACGCACACAGGATTAAACCAGCTACTAGCAGCCTGCGTGGCTGTCTTTGTTTACCCTCTTTATTGTACTGGAAAAGCACATTGTAACCACTGGCTCTGTGAGGCCACAGTTAATTGCAAATAATTATCGTGATGGCATTTAATTTTAGTAATTGTCATCTTCTGGACGGCTGGACGCTAATCCTTTCCTCCTCCTCTGTTCAGGATACAAAGAGCGCGTGTGTTTGTGTGCGCCGGCCACGCTGGCTCGTATATTTTAGTCTCGTTTCTGATTTGAATAAATAAAAGAGTTTATATGACCCCCAAGCTGTAATTTAAATCTCTCCTGTGACTCTTCAAAGTAAGAGCTGTTAAACTTTGCATCCTTTGTACAGAGTCGTGTGGCTTAAACCACCAGTTACATCCCATAATACTATAAAGAGCTTCCCATGATGAGATGATTAGATTGAAATGATTAGATAATTGGATAGAAATTTTACTATAACAAGGGTGTGCAAGATTTCTCGCAGATTGCTGTTGCTAATTAACTGCAAATGTTGACTCCCTAGATCATTTCTACAGATTAGCTTTTCTGAAAAGGATGGGACAACAACTGTGTGTTATTCTTCTAAATGTGGGTGGCTCTATATTAAAAAGGAAAAAAAAAAGGCGCCGACAATGGTCCCATCCGACATATACCTGGATTCGGTCCTACCGATGCACTGAAGCTGCCCTATGGGGTCTAAATTGGGTGAATATTAGAAAGATTTTGCTCGTTAATCTAACACTTCCTCACACTTTCTGCCTCTCTCTATGCAGAAAAAGTGTAAAACCTCAGAAATAATATCAGAAAAATGAAAGTATTTGTTTCCGCGTTTAGTCCTCTCCGGCAGTGATCCTCCTTCAGATTATGCAGAGAGACGGAATGAGATTTGCCTGCGCCGGCTCAGACAGACGCAGGTCAGCTGTCCAAATCGTAATATATTTCAGACTTCACAGGCCAGGAGATGTTAGATCACCTTCCCCTACCCCTGCGACTGCACCTGGTTGTGTCTTTTCTGTAACAAACTGCAACCCGCGTCCCATTTCATTTCCCCGAGAGCTGATTGGATTTGCGATGGTCGCGCCTTCACACCGCACCTCGTCTCTGACAGAGCAGCAATCTCTTTAACACCAACCGATAGATATGATAATGTACACTGGCTTTATTGCCGAGTGACAGAAGGGCGGCACAACACACAGGCACGCGCACTCACGCACAATGTATTCACCACCAGCTTTGCACAGTCCCGCCCTGTTCCTCGGTGCCCTCCTCGTCTAGAAGGGACCCCAGCGCGCACTGAACGCCTCAGGGCACCGACTCTGCCTTTTAATCTTTAAATACTCTAATAACACATTTCTATTTTAGTTCAGATGCTTTGAAAGGTTGGTACCTCGTGCTGCGGGGTTCAAATTTATTGTTTATTGTTCGTTTTTATTTTTAGGACACCCATTGTTGCACTCTGGTTTCCTTGATGCCCTCAAATAGCAAAGAAAATAAAATAAAAAAAATCAAAGGACAATGAAGGAATGTGTAGATTGCTGATCAACAATGTTCTGTAATAACTATATTCAAGAGATAATAACACAGAAGCATGAAAATCACGCATCCTGCGCAATGAAAAATGACCAGTATGTGACAGGGTGCTGCCGAGCCACTCTCTGACAGTTACGGGCGATCAGCTAATATTTTCTGCTCCATTTCGCAGTCTGTCACATCAAGTGTCACGGCTGTTCCTAACATCAGCACAAAGAATGCATGTTAGAGTTTATTTGCACCTTTAAGTGGCAAAAAAAAAAAATCCTCTCGTGACTTCAGCATTTCTTGTTTTTAATATTCTGTCCGTGAAGTCAGCACCGAGGAGAAGCAGCACTCCTTTATTTCAGTGCAGCAATTAAGGGCCCATTTGGAGCGGGACCTGGTGGCCTCCGATGCTCTGAAGGAGTTGGATTGGTCTAATTAACTAATATGAACACTGCTGATTGGGCAGTAAGTAACATAATCACAGCTGATTGGTCAATAACCTGCAGGTCACCGGGACAGGCCGAGGGGAACATTTGGAGGTCCTTCCTAGTAATTTGGACCCGAGCTGCTGGCTGGACTGCGCGATAGTGTGGAGGCTAAAGAGAAGACTGCCGTGGTGTATGTGTGTGTTTGTGTGTGTGTAGCTGGAAAAGTGCTGAGATTTTAAATGGTTTTTAAAGCAAAAATGATCAAATCCGATGCGCTCACTACAAAATATTATTTTTCTGCGGCTAGTCAGACAAAACAAAACAAACAAATGAAAGGTGTCAGCCTTTAAAATTCTGATGACAGTAGAGACATTGATCAGCAGATTTATCAATACTGAAAATAATTGTTAGTCACAGCTAACAGTTGTCATCGTCAACCACGTTGTCAGGTCAGCTCTGCCGTTTCTGTTGGACGCGTTTTGATCACATAATATCTCGTTCATATCATAATGTTGTTAATTTTAAAACACGTGTTCCTAGAAACTTTTGCAGTCAGGGCCAAGAATCAGCCAATCACACTGATGTTTCGGTTCATCGGTGCCGTTTTATGTTCTTTGGATGGTTCTGTTGAGACAACATTGAAAAGTGCTGTCACCGGAGCTCGTGACTCATACTGACGTTGACGGCTTCTTGGTCTATTTTTGAAAAGTTTGTCTCAAACTGAGCTATCAAGAAATCATTTTATACCTGCTCTGCTTTTTAAACATCTACATGATATTCTTCTGCTTCTGTTAACACTTCTGTTTTAACCACTTTTTGCCATGAACCTGGTGTGTCTGTAGCCTACAGATGAAAGTGTCTAACTGCTGTTACTGTCCTGTGTGCACAGTGTATTCTGGGATCTGTACTGCGCTGCCCCGGACCGGAGGGAGACGTGCGAACATTCCAGCGAGGCCAAGGCTTTCCATGACTATGTGAGTGAACTTAACCAACCCTCCCGCCGTGTACAAGTACACACACATCCACATGCTCGTGAACACCCATGATCACACAGACCGTGCATCAGAAAGAAGGGACTATCCTGTTTGAGATAATGCTGCTGGTTCTTGTTTTGACACGTTTGTTTCTTACCGTCTGCGCGTCTGCTCTTCCTGGTTGCAGCCTCCGTTTGTGGACGGGGCTCGCTGCGAGCCAGACGTCTGAAATGGCGTGCTTTTAAAAAATGCAACACCCGTGAACACCACTTGTATATTTTATGGGAAAGCCCTTAGACTTCCATCTTTGAATTTTTAAAATCCAATTGGGTGTTTGTGGCAACGTTCAATATTTAACTCGATCTAACTGATTACATATATTTTTCCTATCAGCTGCTTCAGCGGTGCAGCTCAGCTGGTGGCCACACTTCCTGTTCTAGTGAATCTGTCGCCGAGGTTAAAGGTCACTGTACTGCCTGACTATTTATCGTTCCACTCGTGGCTTCAGTAAAGGTCAAATCACATGAAGCAGCTGGTTGATCGCACCATTACATCTACACACACATTTGCACACAATAGCTGCTTATGATAGTTGTGGCAGAGGATGGCCCGGGTGCTGCAAGGTCAGGGCCTGAGCCCCCCGTGACCCCTGTCGTCTGCACAGTTGATCAGACCAGTAGATCAAACGTGCACGTTTTCTGCAGGCCAGCACAAAGCGAGCGTCTGTTTTCTCGTGACTGCGGACCACGCAGGCTTAACCTCCTCACTTTGTCATCTTTTTTCAAAGTGTTTTTTTGTTCTTTAGCTGCAAGGGTTTTCTCTTTTGGCTTGTCCACACTATGATAAATATTTGCATCATGCCGCATGGTGTATATTTGAGTAAGGATTACACGGTGTGCGAATGTTGACTGGACAGACTGCTTCAGCTGCGAGATTATCGTTCCACCCGGGCAGAAGTTAAACCTGAAATGGATTAGAGGCACGGTTCTCGCCATCCGCGTTTCATTCAGGCCGTTTTAACTCGTAGCCTGTCACCCGTCCAGTTGAACTCTCTTATGAGGTTTGACGGCAAAAGTGCGAGCGCTTGTCAGCTGAACAGATTACATCTGTCGCGCATGTACCATGCATGTCTGCGCGGGCACTAGTTGATGTGTGCGTCTCCTCGCCTCGTCTCTGTGTGTGTGCATGTGTTGGACCACCATAAGATTAATTACATGGTTAATTAAACCTAGTAGTTAATTAAATCTGACAACTGTGTCTAATTAATCTAAATGCCATATAATTTCCTACACCTTTCTCCAGAGGTAGGCCAGCTGGATACCTGCATGTCAGCTATTTAACGGCTCTGGTTTGACAACCCTGGTCAATATATGTCTGAACCTCTGGCTTGAAATTCTGCCAACCTGCCGACATATTTTAAACGTGTTTCAGTCTTTGTTTGCGTAAACTGGTTAGCTGAGAATCCGAATCGCTGCTGCTGCTCCTCGGCATTGGACTGCATAGACAAAACATAGAGTCAAGCTGCAGTTTAGGGGTTAAAGTGCTGATGTGAATCAGAGGTTCAGACGTATATTGAGCTTGTTTTTACTAAAATATAGTAAAGATAGGTAGAGAGAGGAGGCAGGTGCTCTGTTGGTGTTGTGGTAAAGTGATAAACGCATCCTAAAGGGGAACTTGATGAGCATTTAGAACTGCTGAGACGCTCTGTTTTTGATCTTCGACCTCACTCAAGTTCACAAGGTCAGCCTGTGCGAACTCTCAGCTCACGACTGCTGATTTGCTGCGATTAGGAGTTTAAAGATAGAAATATTTGTCATTTTATGGTTTCGCTTAGTGATGCATGCGATGTGCAGGTGTTTCACTTTCAACTTTCAAAAAAAGCTAGTGCAGCCTTCCGATTTGAGATAGACACAAGGTGCAGGATACTGTTTGCACACAAATGCAGAAATCTGAATACAAATCCAACGAAAAAGAAAGTGTAGAAAAACTGCATTTTACGCAGGGTCCTCTTTTATAAATCATTGTACCCACGTACTTCCTTATTTAATCAATGGCATATAAAATCAGTGTTTGCACCTCAAGTTATTGGACACGGCAATTAAAAGAAACACAAGAAAGAAGCACAAATTTCACAGAATTTAAAACTCAGACGCTCACCTGAGAAGTGGGGAAAAGAAACGGTCTCAAATCTGTAATCGTGAATGGCAAAAAGTGCAAAAATGTCACGCAGGTTATCGCCTTGGCGAGGACCACAGCAGAGAGGAAAAGGAAAGGCTGTAATACAAATAAGAGACAAAAAGGCATCAGTTCACACAAGCAAAGCAGGCGGCTATTTATAGCTCCCGCAATTAATTTAGTGTATGCTATGAAGAGCAAATTCTCTATATCAACATAGGTAGGCGTGTTTGAGAGGCAGAAACAACTATATTTATGAGAAGCAGCTGTCCGTTTTATCTTATGTTTACATACTTTCACTTTTCACCTTTGCTTTCACTCACTGGTTTGGTATAGCCACAAAACTAGTTAGTGATGTTTAGGACAAAAAGACTGCACCTGGGTTAAAATATCGTCTTGAATGTGCTTGAAAATCCAGGCCAAAGGTCAAAAGGAAAGAAAAACGTGTGCCATCAGTTTGAGTCGGTAATTGAAAAAAAAGAAAAAAAAAGAAAGAAAGTTTGAGTCGGTAATCGTGGACCTCGTGCTACCTTATTATAAAAGAAAACTATAAATTATACTGCTTTGAATTCATGCTTTGCTAAGTAAAGTTGCAGAGTTGTTTTGGATTAGGAGTCCTAATAAAGCGTAGAGGGTGTGGCAGAGGCTCTGACAGTGCACGACAAGGTGCGAGAAAGCACATGTGCTATTGTGACCATTCCCGCACGTGTCTTTGTGCGTCTGCGTGACGGCGAGAGCCAGAGCATCGGGGTCGAAGCGCGTGAATCCCCAGGGTGACGAGGGGTCTGTCTGCCTCTGATTAACTCTGGCTCCTCGGTCCCCGCAGACTGACGGCCCGATCGAGTCTCTATCAAGGCCCCTTGCTGATAACGGCTCCCTCGCTCCCCCGAGTCCGCCCGGATCACGGAGTGAAAAACAACACGGCTCCCGGGAGCCGCGCACTCCACTCTGTGTGCAGCTCAGCAGGAGCGGTGGAAGGGGAACGTGTGTGAGATAAACCAGGATTGCTTTTGTTTTTATTAATGCTTCTTCTTACATGTAATTTATGGTCTGCCTGGCCTCTATAGAGGTGTACGCTGTCACTTTGCTGCGGATAACAATGAGAAAATATCAGCAAAGAGCCATAAAATTGATATCTATATATCTGCTTATTTGTTTCCGCAAACTAATTTGGTTGCCAGGCAACGCTGAGCCGGAGTACAGTCTTAGTTACAGATTTGGTTTGGCTCAGCTCAGTTTGGCTCAATTTGGCCCGATTTGAAGGCACCTCTTACTCAGCCCTGTCCTGCTGGCCCCCTCTGAGAGCAATGATGTAGACTTTGTGGACTCTCCAGTTTGGGAAAGATAATGGAATATAATGTGCTAATCCCCAGATCTGGGGACTGGTTGACAGCTAATCCAGGGGAATGTGGTGGGATTGGAGCCCTGGCCTCCCTCCCAGAACTGGAGGCCTCTGACTAGAAGGGTAGCTAGTTGCTTTCACCCTTGAATGGCGAATCTGCTATCGTAGACACTCTCACGTAAACACTCCCACTTGCAGCAGCGCTTGTGTGCATATCCCACTCCCACGCGCTCTCATGCAAATGAATACACGCACTCAAAGTAAGCGAGATGATGCCGTATCATAAAGAGCTGGAACAGCCTGAAGTCTTGTACCTCTGTAAAGTAATTTGAGTGTTCGCTCTTGTCGTCTTAATTGTCGGAATTGTGTTTCTGTCCTTCCTCTTCACGTCGCCCTTTAATCACGTTTATTTCCTAAAAGAGATCCGCGCATCTCATGGTCCTCTTTTCTGCTGGAATTTGGATGTTCCTCAAAAGAGCACTTTGTTGAGGAAATGTGTTTGATTATAAGAACATGGCACGTCTTTAGTAACTCAATATGAATGATTAAAGCACGCGAGCTTTGTGATGAAGAAAGCATACATATTGACGGACGAGCAAGCACACACACAGAGAACGAGTCGCTGTCTTCTCCATCTCAGACACGCGCGCATGCACTTTCAGTCTCAAACAAACAGTCTTTCAGGAAGCGATCCGCTCGCCTCGCTGCTGCAAACATTTTGCTTTGCCCCAGCCAGAGGTCGCAACCCCAAACATCTGCGATTCACGCCAATCCGGGTTCACCGCCTGCAGAGCATCACGGATTTAGTGCCACAAGTGCGTCACTCACGTCGCAGTGCTTCACTGACTCCTCTCAGCTCTCGGCTTACTGATGCAAACTGTCACGATAATGGCTGAGATGGAGGAGTCAAAAACAGGGATTCAGCTTTGAACGTTTCACCTCTTCCCGAAATAGAGCGCATTAAGAAAACCGTCATGAAAGCCCTCGTGAACATGATAAGGCGCTCGAGCATTAGCTGCATATTTGATTGTTTGATCGACAGAAAATTTTAACACTTTGAAAATGCAGTCTGACGTTCTGTCTTTACATCAGCAAAACTTCCATTTAAATTTTTTTTAAATTTTCAGTTTGTCTGCTAATTACGTTCTTGATTGATGTCAAAAAAGTCAGAAAATATTCCCCGCCAGTGTTTTTCAGAGACCAAAAAGACATTACTTACAGTCTTGTTTCACCATTCTGAAATCATATTTGCTTTTATTAAAACACTAACAGATTAATGACAGTCAAACAGTTGTCAGTATATTTTCTGTTGGTTGACCGATTGATTGAGTAATTAACTTCTTGCTTCTGCTCTACACTGAGTCACTTCAACCAGGAAAACGAGTGCCGCAGCCCTAATCTGATCTCTTCCCAGCATGCCGTTTGCAGACCGTAGATAGATGGAGATGCAGTGTTGGCTGTTGCCTGGCTATTCTTTGAGCGG